TTCAGCCTCAGATTTTTCATCGTCTTGGACTCTCCTTCTCCTTTTTAGTAATGTTTTTAATTAAGGTTTCATGTATTTATATATTTTTTGTTTGTAATGTTTGTTGTGAATCGCCCAGAGTTCCCCCTCTCGGGGGAGATGGGCCGTTGAAAAATTTAATAAATAAATAAATAAATTGTATGAAAAGGTATTCTTTTTTCTTCCTGAATTTCTCATCATTCCTTAGATCAGCATTTCTCAATCTGTAGTAGGTATACCACCAGTGATATGCAGAGATGGTCTAGGGAAGATACAACTCTCTTCCCCTGAGAGAGAAAGGGGAGTTGTTCAGAACAGCCAAGCTTCAATTGGGGACACTGAGATGAAGGGATCTGGGCATCTCAACAGAGTTCCTGGTCTCCAGAATTGGAACAGCCTCCGAAAGATTTAGGCTTAGGAGCCAAAGTAAAATGTTTGCATGTGTTTTTGGTCTGGACTTAGAATACAACCCACAATACACTACTTCAGCCCCAATTATTTCAAGCATCATTGCAATTTTGAGGTCCTTTCAACTTACTGTGACTGAAATACAGTTAACAGAATGTCCATACACTTGTTCTTATCCAAAAACAGTATTTTTTTCTTGATCTTGATGGGATCCAGATTGATAGAATGAACTCTAGGAATTAAAGTACGAAATTTTGAGAATTTTGTTATGTATTGCAAAGGATGGCAAACATTTATCCATTTTCCATAATTTTACACACTATTTGGACCGGGGGGCGTGAAGCAGCAGGTTGGGAACATGGAGGATCCCAGCAATTCCCAGTTTGCTTCTACCAATCTCACCTTTTGAGAGTTTTTTGAGGTTGGGAATTCCTGATCTTGGAAAGAGCTAGCCACTGAAAGTGGGATAGGGCTCAGGAAGTGCAATGTCAGATCTCTCTTCGACTCCCACCCCCCACATTTATAACCCATCTCTGACCTTGGGGAAATATCTGGAGATTCCTATGCTTGAGGGGACATAGAATTGTAACCTAAATGCTATACACATGCCAAGCATTAACATTAGCAACGGAAACTATGCCTCTCTCCTATTCCTTTACTATTTCACATTAAGAAGACTATCCACACAAGGGAAGACACAATGCAACCAAGACTATATGCAAATATCCACTTTACTAGAAGAGGAATTACAACACAGCCCTTGAAGAAATACAAAGAGTATTTGTATATATATACACAATTAACAAGGATTTCACAATAAATGCTGAACAGAAAGTAACAAATAAGGTTTATTCATATAAAATATTAGGCACAATATTTTACTACATTGAACCAAAGTTCCCATAATCTTTAGCCAAATAGCCAATAATTAGGTCAGAAAATTGTTTGGAAAGGCTGTCAACTTCTCAGTGGAATTACATCAGGGAAAAGTGGGTTCCTGCCTGTGCACTGTAGAAAAGAGGCCAAAAAAAAGTGGTTTCAAACTAATCAAACTGTTGCAGTCTGGTTATATGAACTGAATTTATGCCACTTACATTTCTCACAAGCTTTAAAAATGAACAAGGGTAATATTTGTTTCTCTTCTGTTAATTAAGCATAAATTGGGGGGGGGAAAGAAACAACTATGTGATCTGCACATTTATCGATTTCCTTCAGAAACTCAAAATATGGCAAGGTATGTAACAGAAGAAAACATACACACACATGCATGTATGTGTGTGTTTATACACACACCGACATGCCCACAATATATACACACACACACTCACACAGACACACACACACATATACACACAAACATTGAGGTGCAGCTTTTTAAAACATTCATCTACTTGCATATCTAGTGACCAATCAGATGCAGCCCAGTCACTATGACCCATCCCCTGCTAGCCAGCTTTCTGTTCTAGCATCTATCTAGTTCAAATTGAAAGAATACAAATGCTTTCAAGCACCAAACTATCATACGTGGCTGAGGACTGCATATACATGATAACCTGGTTTAACCTCATTTCAAAGGAAGCCAACTTACACTTGATTTGGGAGTGTAAGCCAAAATGAAATATCTTCATTAACTGAAGATAATACTTAATTCATATATCCAAGTGCTGCTATGTTCTAAGGGAAAGAAATGCCTGATTCTTATGGTTTGCTTCATGAACACTAGTCCCTCCAAATTCAGATAGGCAGATAAATGCTTAGAATGGGCATCATGACAAAGACAGTCCGGCAGATTTTCAAATCATGTAATTTTGCCTACGCCCCCTCCACCAAACTGGCAGATGTCATGCTCTTTTAAAATGCATTGCTCCCCAGGTTGAAGTGATAGGAAAATTGTAACCTCCTGATTTTCTCAGGCTGCCACTACAGGTACAAAATAAAGTTAATAAAACAAATGACCAAACATTAGCATTACCTAGGTGTTATTCTGGAACATATAGCAGATGCAGTTTTTAAAACACTCATTCCAGCAAATTCATATCATCCATGGAAATATTTCAGATAGCTTCAGAATAAATAAAAGTATTGCAAGCTTGGCTTAACAAAAATAACCAATGGATATAGAAAATTTAAAAGATCTATCTAGTTTCAGACAGTAATGATATGTCAGATATACTACATACATGTATATCATGCTTTCATAGACTCATCAGAAACAATTTTCTCAGCTTGAGATGCAAAATTTAGCATGTCATCAGAGATGGTATCTCATGACCAATAATTCTGATTTCCCACAGTGCCCCCCAGAAGACAAGTAACAATTATCTATTATTTCAGTTACTCATCCAACGTGCTATAGATCAAGATACAAGAAGGAAAGTTTTTTTTAAAAAATAAAGCATTTTTGCTCCAAGGCTAAGAACTTTTAAGGCAGCTTTAAAATACAGAATTTTCACTTCCAAGTAAGTCTATGTTTATTACTTTGACAGAGCCTACAAGTGATACCCATCCCCCTCTTTTTAAAAGCACAAGTACTGCAACTCTTTTGCAACTCAAAAGAGACTTCAGTGCAAGACATGCAGTTGAATCCTCCCTGTCTTCCCCACACCCCCAGAATAGCATCTTTCAGTGAAGCAGATTATCTCACCAAACCCAACCTTGCCCTGAACTCTCTAGAACAGATTTTGGGGAGTGTCAGGGGCAGAGAGGAAGGGAAAGTTCCATTGCACAATTGCCAATATTGGATTTGATCAAGAAATCCACCTGACTGAATACTGCACATCAAACAGCCTCACTTGCTCTGCTCATCTTCCAAGAAAGGCTCATGTGAAAATTCTTGATCAATCAACAATTGGGTGCTGAGAAGTCTCAATAGTTTCTTTAGATGAGGGCTCCTCAACCTTGGCAACTTGAAGATGTGTGGAATTCAACCCCCACAAATCCCCCCCGCAAGCGGGGGGAATTCCCTTGCTGGCTGGGGAATTCTAAGAATTGAAGCCCACACATCTTCAAGTCGCCAAGGTTGAGGAACCCTGCTTTAGATGATAAACAAAAAAATAGTGCAAGCAGGAGTACATTTTTAACTTTGGCCTTCTTGCTTTTATTATGGATACATCAAGGACATAATCCAAACAAAGTTATGTACCTAGTGCTTATTAAATTTAAAAATGCAGACTTAAGGATGCACTTAACTCCCCCTTTTATGGAAATGGAAGTTCCTGACAGATTTATATTGCTGATGAGATGTGGCCCTCAATTCTGTTAAGTTAGCTATACTAAAATAAAATTAAGGTGCTACTTCTCAATTATTAATAATTACAATTATTAAGGAGTAGGCATTATCACAAGTCACTCCTTCTTTCATAGTATGTCCAAACTTTACTTTAGTAACCACTATCATCATGCTTATACTGTTCAAGACAGCAACTGTGATGTAACTGGTGTCCGGAAATTTTGTATTCAATATTTGATTTTGATGTGAGTTGATTAATAAATATTAATCTAAATAGCTGATAGTCATATGCACGGTTCCATCTGCAGGCCAACAGGTTTTGTCTGCACATACATGGAACAGTGCCTTGGGCAGCTTGGAATAACAAGGGAAACGAATTCAGTGCCATTTCAATATGGAGTTCCTACACAGGCCAGGCCTTTTCAGCTTTGATGCACATGGTTGGCGTCCCGTCTAAGTAAGTCCTGAGCTAGCTGAATAAGCCAACTTTAAATACAATCTATAGGCATCTATCTCCAGGTATGGGAGAGAGTGCTCTAAACTGCAACTATGACATGGCAGGCAATCCTAAAGCAGAGTGCCTCAGGTATGAAGTCAGGGTTCAGACCCAAGCTGATAAACACTTTGGACTGTGTTCACCAAGAAGAACAGTTTCTGAGAGGTAGTTTCAATCTCCCATATCACTGCTTTCAGAGGATAAATGCAAGATCAGGCTGTAGCAGCTGCATCTGTACAAAGTATACAGAAAACGAGTATAAAACTGAAAACAACAAAGTCAGCCTGCTTCACTTTCTATTAATTATTCTTACTCAAGTAAAGATAAATTTTCAAAGAATAGTCCATTACTAATATTCTACCCCCCCACCCCAAAATATATTCTCCTTTTCTGAAGTGCTGGTGATTCTCCCCAAAACTCTGGAAGAAAAAAAAAGAAAAGAAATGTAATGTAATATTAAGTAGGCCAAACACTGAAGCAGGGAGAGAGGGTAGAAAAAAGAGGAAAATACTTTCCCACCCTCCCCTATAGAAAAGCATAACTTGTGGAAATTAAGTTAAAAAATCAGTGAAAGCTGTAATCTTGGGAACCCTCAAGTTCGTGACAAAATGTTTTGACAAGCTGGCCCACTACCCTGGTGATAACATTGGTAGAAGCACGCTCAGAGCACTCTCATTCCTTGGTTTCTCTAGAGCTGCAATTCTGTTCAGTTTGCCAACTTCTGTCTGCCAGCTGGGCACCTTCTTGGTCATGTGACGACGGGCATGTTTTGTCAGGTGATCGCTACGCATAAAACGGCGGTCGCAGACTGGACAGGCAAACTTCTTCTCCCCTGTATGGGTTCTGCGGTGGCGAGAAAGCTCATCAGAACGGGCAAATTTTTTATCGCAACCTTCCCAGCTACAGGTGAAAGGTTTTTCTCCTGGAATAGTGGGAGGGGGAAGGAAAGACAATTCAAGAATAAATTTGTTGGATTCACCAATGAAATTATGAAATATTTTCTACCAAGTAAACAAAAGAACAAACAATCAGCAAAACAGATCAGGATTTTACTGTAGCTCCTAAAGGGGCTATGGAGGGGGACGGGGACCCATTATTGGAGCATATTTTACCAATACTGATAAGATATAGGAAGCTCAATCCTCTTAGTATATAGTATTAATATACTATTAGTATATGAGATTATTTTGTGCACATGTAGAAGCATATGTAAAAATTAGAGGTGTGCTAAGCATTTTGTTACAAAATGTTCTACACAACTCCTCAGATAATTCCAAGCATTCTCAGAGTAGTCTGATCTTGAACTGGGACTACTCTGAAGTCAATCCATTTTCAGAACATTCCATGGTGGAAAGTTTTTCAGTATTTTTTTGTATCAATATATTTTTTCCATCTACTGCTTCTAATTAAGAAGTCAAGGAATGGGACCTGTAAAAACTCTCCCCCTTCCCTTCTACACATTCTGTAAAGACTCAGCTGCACTCTTTTGCATGCCTGAACAATTTCCTTTGCCTCTAAATCATAGGCATTTGCACAGTATCTCAGCTTCTCCAATATGATACCATGTACAGTACATACATCAGAAATCTATTTCCCTCAATTCTAAAAACTACAATGCCATATCTGGAGAGCACCATGGAGGTGAAGATCGCTCTAGTGAGTTTCATGCCACTACAATCTCAGTGTTTATTTTTGATGCTTGACAAGCATCATCAGTGAAATTATAAGATACATCACATTCCTTCGGTTCTATACATACCAGTATGAGTACGCAGATGGGCTTTGAGGTGAGAGCTTTTGAAATACGTTTTCCTGCAGCCAGGAAAGTTGCAAACATAATTCCTCCTCCGCGAAAAGTCTATTAATGGTGTACTGCTCTGGCCGGAGGCAATAAAAACTGGAGCAGGAGCCAAAGGCAGTAACTTGGTGTTCCCCACAGACATCACAGTTTGTTGGCACGGAGGTGCCTGGGCGACAGCTGCCTGTGGAAGAACCAACATAACAGTCCCCTGAGGCATGGAAGGTCCCATCAGGACAGGCTGAGAAACTGGAGCTGTGTGGGGTAAGATAGGTTTGACTGTTGCTGCAGTTTGAGTAGAAGGTTTTAATAGGGCAGGGACCATACCTCTTGGTCCATCCAAGGGGATCATTTGACAGATCACCTGTGGATTTGAGACAGGGGAGGGTAGAAGGGGGCTGGTCTTTTGCTGCATATCATTCTCACAATTCTTTGGGTAAACAGCCTGCTGCAAAGCAAGCCTTGAAATTTCACATCCTTTATTGGCAGTTCTAGAGCAACCTGAGTCGTGCAAGGAAGATTTGTGTGCAAGTGAAGTGTCACAAGTTAAGTTCTCTGCAATATAGCAATCCCGCGAAGCTCTGGAATGTTGCTGGCCTTGGGCCTCCAGCCAGTCTGCAGACCCACCGTTGCCCAATGAAACTTCTGGTTTCACTTGCACACCAGGAATGCGAGAGTAACCAGAACTGTTGCCTGTGTGACGGATCACACTAGTTGCCATGGCTCTGCAAAGCAGAGGAACAGGTTGCTCGGTCCTTGCTGGCATCTGGCTGGATTGCTTCTCCATGTTCAGAACAGATGGCTGGGTTGCAGCAAGAGTACAACCTGGAGGAGTGACTAAGCTGGCAGGTACATTTGCCTTGATTGCCCTAGATTTTGAATAAGTAGCTTGAGAGGAAGGCGGTGCTCCCGTGGAAGGCTCAACAAAATCTGGACTGTATGGTGGTGTCATGCACTACATTAAAAAGAAAAAGAAAGAAATCAGCACGCATAGATCAGAGTTACTAACTGGAATTATGGACATAACTAATTACATTCATAATCAGTACTGTCTCATTCAGACCTCAAGATACTGATCTTTTCAAACCATAATTTGAAAGAATGTTTACCCCAATTTTGTAATCTATTTATTTTCACTTCATTCTAATGTCCTATAATAAAGGTAATTGTACGTTCCAACATTCTTCCTTTGTATTAAAATCACAATCTTATGGTGCTTGAAAAGCAATATTCTCAGATGTACCTCTCTGCCATGCTGGGTTCAATGGAACAATCCAATCTGTCTGCTTCAGAAAATCATGCAATAGCTATTCAATTCAGATTTCCCCACAACATAGCTGTAAATTGTACAATGTTTTGTCTTAGACTACGTTAACAGCGAATCACAGAGAAAGATGTGATGTAATAGGCCAAAACAATCAGCAGCAGATTGTTATCAATTGCATTTTCAAAAAGATATGTATACCTAATACTGTAAAATAATCTGACACCCATTACTAAAAAATCATAATCCCTCAAATTCAATAAAGCACTATTAGCAGATTAAGTGGGGAAAGCTTGCTTTCTTTCCGCTTAAAAATAATCATTTCATGCATACTCATTTTCTTTCAGGTAGTTTTTTTTTTTCTTTTTCCTTACCAGTGTGGATAAAAAGTTATAATCCTTGGGCATCTCAGATGTGGGTTCATTCTGCACTGCAAAATCCCCAGAATCTGAAACAGGTGTAAGAGGTCTTATTTTTAATGGGTCACCCTTCTGTGATCTTTGACCCCAGGAGCTCATACAAACAAGGGTCTCAACTGCTTCTATGTCGTTCCGTTCCAAGGTGCTACAAGTAGATCTTTCACTGTCGTGACGCCTTCGTTCACGGATGGATTCGTAGATGTCCACAATATCAACCTTGAGATGAGTGAATCATCACATTTTAATCATTCAGATAAAAAAGTGAATACATTTTCACTGTCTGTTTAAACATTCATCCCATGGCTCAATGTCCTGATCTAACTTCTTTAGCAATTTGGGTGCCAATGCTGGTTCTTAATACCTCTAGAGAACTCCTACCCATTGGATTACAAGGGCTAATTAACTAGCTCTGAATAATATAACAACTTCTCACAATCAAAGCAGGCTTGTGCACATAGCTGCCCCAACCCTTGGTGGCTTTCCTGCATTCTGATTGCTGTATTTCCAAATACTCATTTCCTAGTCAACTTTTGGACTAAAAAACTACACATTAACTCCTTGTCAGTTTATTTCTCATTTTATTACATGATCACAAAACACAGAGTAAGCATGAGCCAGTAGGCTTTTGAGTACTTGACTTTTATCTGTACTGAGACTAAAATATCTACAACCTCCAGTCCCAGGGCAGCATGTGAAACCCAAAAGCCTTCAAACCGTCCCTCAGAATTCTCCAAAAGTTGTAGCCAAACTGCCATATTGAATATAATGAAAGGGGAAAATTCCATACTACAGAGGGAACAATGATATCAAATCCATTTAATTAAATTAACCAGATTCAGTTTTTTGTCCTAACTGCTAAACTCTTGTAAGAATATGACACCTAGTCCTTGATCCAAAACAATATTAGGCAACCTGGATCTATAGGAACAAATATATTCCCCTTTTGATAAGCTATCGCCAAAAGTTACAGCTAAACGCTACCTTTGTAGCTATAAACAGATGCCTGTACTGCGCTGCCTGTACTAACTGCACTGAAAATGCCCTATACGCTGAATCCCAGCTAGAAAAAAAAAATGTAATCAGCCAGTTGGTAATAAGCCTCATAAGAATACTAGATAGCCTTTTCATGCCCCATTACACTATTCACAGATATCATATACAGATAGACACTTGAGTAAATACTTACTGAAGTATACAGACTGTCACTTAATAGCCAGCTGTATGCAAATAAATCCAGGTGTAACCAATTAGGCTTGCATATGCATACAGTGAAAAAGTTGCCAATCACAGTACTTAAGTTCATACATGCAGACTACATGTGGGCACCAAATACAGTAGATACTTGAATATGTGAAGTCAAAAATATCTTTTACTCAGTTAAATCTATATGGAATTTGCAATTAACTTAAATTGTAATCTCCAAGTTCATACATACATAAATGAAGTTAACATTTTGGAGTGAAAGAGGAGTAAAAGTAGACTTGACATGCACTCAATTAGTGTTTGATGCTATTGTTTAATGTTAAATTCATGATAGTGATCCAAAGCAGAAACCGTAAGTCATCTAACTATTAACAGATTTAACATGAAGTAAAAGTTACCACAATATCAAGCAGTATAAATAATTAACACAAGGGGACCTTCTACATTTTTTTTCAGTTATCAAAATATTTTCCAAGATGGTACTATTGGGGAAAACAAACATTTAAGAAGTCTTTTAGATCAGCTTTAACATTTTAAAACCTAAAATAGATTAATAAGCGGAGAGAGGGAGGGAGAGAGAGAGGGAGGGAGGAAGGAAGGAAGGAAGGGAAGAGCAAGCCTGGGCCTGATTTCCAGACAGAAATGCAAGAGCGGAACTGCAACAGCCTCGTAGTGCGTCCTTAGATCACCTCCCTTCACCCAGACACTGCAGTGGCAAACTGGATGAGATGACACACAATGCAAGAAACGGCTGCAAATTACAGCTGCACAAAGATCGGAAATTTCCCTCCACTTCACTGTCCTGAACAGCAGGCAAGCATTATTGCATAACCGTTATTATAATTCTTTCTACTTATTCCCACTCACCCTCCCCATGCTGCTCACGTGCCCGCTCCTTTACTTTGCTTTAACAAAAAATATAGCGGGAGGAGGATGGAGAGAGGGACTGATGTGAAGATTAGTCAAAACTACAAGGCCAGTGACATTTAGCCAGAAGGAGGTGAAGGCCCTCCTCCTAAAGGAGGTGGGAGGATTTCTTCCCACCTCGTGGGATCCAGAGTAACCAAATATAGTTCAAGGTTGGGGGGGGAGGGAAGGAGTGGGGAGACGTCATGCATCAAAATAGCCATGTGAGCAAAATGGGTGGTGGTCCCTGACTGAGCCTCTGCTGGGAAGCCCTTTAAGGCACCGTAAGTACCTCTGTCCTCAAACCAGACAGCTTAGAGGGCAGCGAATGGCTGACAAGAGTCAAGACACTTTCTCCTGAGAGGCACTCACAAAGGTGAATGGGGTGAAGAAAGAGAAAGAGAGAGAGAAAAACAGGGAGGGAAAGGAAGGAAGATAAGGAAGCCCCTCCCAAACCTACCAGCTGAAAGAAGAGCACTTACTGTAATCTCCCAGGCATGAAGTCATGCCATTAGCAAGCAACTGTGGATCAGAGTCAGCCTAGATTATTCATGCCAAAGCACTTTATTCTGCCCACACCAGCCAGCCAGGTCTACGCAAGGAGCAAAGCCTCACCACCCTAGAGCCAATAAAACTGCAGTCCTTTATTCACCCTCAGAAGCGGGACTTACTTCTAAGCAAGCATGCCTAGGATTTGGCTGGGAGGATGAGAAGCATCCCCCAGTATTTGCTTAAACACAGCCCGCGGTCTTCCAAGCGGGGTTAGGAAGGAAACAGCATTCAGCATTCCCCCAATTCACACACGTCACTCGGTCCAGATAAGTTGAAGGGGCCACCCCCGCTCGAGTTCCTAGAGAGCGAGCCGCCGGGGAAGGGCTACAGCGGAGAGGCTGAATCAGAAGGGTCGCTCCCGGCCAGATTAGCTGTCCCACCGCAGGTGAAGAAGAAAGAGGGCACAGCTGCCCGAGCCCCGGGCACAAGGAGCGCGCGCTCTGGAATCTGTCGCGCCCCTCACCTCAGCGTCTTGGGCACCCCCGAATTGCATTTGCAAATAGAGAAAAGAGCCAAGGTTAGCCCGTGTGCCCCGGTCCCTCCCGAGGCGCATCAGCGGCTTGGCCTCTGCTCCTCCGAATACCTGGCTCCTTGGAAAGTCACGCCGATCAGATCAGAACTCAAAGGGGGAGAGGGCACGTCACGTCGAGCCACTTCGGCTCTGGGAGGTACTGGGAGCGGATCCCTGCTCTGCCCCCTTATGCCCCCATCCCGCACGGCGCAACAAGTGGTACTCACCGAAGGGGCATCTCCCATCTCCTCGCTGCAAGGAGAGGTATGCATGGTGAGAGCTCCCGCGGGCAGCAACGATATGACAAAGCCAGCCGGAGCAATCGGCCAGAACCACCTCCCTCCCGCCCCTCCTTCGAGGGAGGCGAGCAGCCAAAACAGAGGGAAGCACACCAAAACACTCCATCCAGCAAAGCAGCTGGAAAGGGGCGGAGGAGGAGGAGGAAAGAACGAAAGGGGAAGGGAAGAAGCGCCGTGCCAATCACAACCCGAGCTGCCTCCTGGCCAGCCAATGGGTTTCCTCGGGCGGCGTGATAGCCTCGTGCAGCTATGCTGATAGCAGGAAAGGACCCTCGTGGGCACGTTTGGCGGCGGCGGCGGCCAAGCCGAGCCACCCTCTGGAAACTAGGGGAAAGGTCGGCGCGAGGAGAGCGGGAGGGCGGGGCCGGCTGCTCCAGGGAAGGGCGGTGCGGCTGTCTGTCAGTGAG